GACATTTTATTCAAATGTAGCCAAATAAGGGATAAAATACAAAACATGGCAAACCTTAAGAATTATTCACAATGAGATATTAACTTTCCAAAATTTTTTTTGGCCTTACGACCTCTGAGAATCAATACATTTCTGAAAGCTCTTATGAATGGTACAATTATGTTTAGATTTGAGACCAAATTACAATAACAAAACTGCATAGAATATTTGACTTGTTCACACATCGCCTCGTAGTCATAACATATGCGGAGGGATACACCGGAAATTTTCTAAATTTCTTCCGGTTTAAGGACATTTGTTATTGTTTACATTAGTCCACCCATCCATTGGCAATGGTCAAGAAAACATCCCTTAGGATGGCCGCAAGACATGCCATAAAAATTTTGATTCTCTGTGGAGGGGATGGCAACTCTATTTCGGTGACTTGACGACCTGCGCGAAATCGAACACTTTACAGCAGAACAATTTAACGAGAACTAATATCGCACACCCTCGGTCCCTTTGCAGTCTGATCAAAACAGTCACCCACCCTCACACTAACCGCAGCCAGTGATGATTGACTTTGGTCTGCTAGGAACTACGTTTTAACGATCAATTCTCTGCAGAATCGAGATAAAAGGGAAATTGTAACTGATGAGTTTTCCTGGGAGATGGATGCTCTAATAAATTGGGATTGCACCCATCGGTTTTGTTAAAACTGTTTCATCTTTTGGGTGCAATAAAAGTTGCGCACAATTAAGCCAGACATATGTTAAAAGAAACAGCTAAATGCTAAATGGTATTTTTTTTCCAGCTCTTAAGTTTTCAAGAGAGTACTGAGCCAATCTGAAAATTCGAACGTTCCCCAGTGTATTTTGAAAATATTTTGCTAAAATTCGATAAAATAAAGGATCTTAAACAGGGTGCGTAGTCAAATTTTTCAACAAAAAAGAAGCATCTTTTAAGCACTAAAAATATTTTTAAGCACGTTAAAATATATGTTACAATTTGGATATGTGCACTAATAAAATTTTTTTCTTCCTGTTGCTGAGTGTCTTTTTTATCAACAAAAATGTAAAAACATTTTCAAAGACTTTACATGCTCATTAATATAACTAGTTTCTGACAAAAAGGGCTCTTTTCCTCATTATATGAGTCACCATAATAACAATTTATGCACAATTTTTAAGCATATTTCATTGTGAGACACTCATTTTTTTAAAATTATAAATAATTGCTTTATTTAATCATGTAAAAAATTAATTCGAAATTATAATTAGTTAAATTATAATATAAAAAATATCGGGAATATTTCTTAGATTTAAATCAAAGTTATTTATAAAGTAAATTGAACAAAAAACTTAGCAAGATTAATATTATTGATCATAGTGAATTTATAAAAATATGTTAAGAACTAAGCAAACTAATAAGTTTGCTTAAATACTCCAATGTAGATCGGATTATCCCATTTGTATTTTTCATCTACCGTATTCTAAAATAATACATAGTCTTAAATAAAAGAAACAAGACCTACCAGCGAAATTTTTTAAAGAAAAAGTAAATAAATGACCCACTAATGACGAATCACTTTTTTTCCAACGAGTCCCGTTGAAATTAAAGCCGGATATGTAGATAATCAAGGACTTTAGTTTAATTTAAATTAATTCGGTAATATTTTGACAAACAGATATTAACTTGCCTTGAAGCAGATAACTTGACTGAAGTCAGGGATGAGAATAGTCGGATAGTAAAAAAGAGGAAATTCAAGAATGAATATTATATATATAATATGTTGAAGTTCTGATATCCAAAAATTTGACAAAAAAATGCGATTTTTAAACCATGCGATTGTAAATCTCGATGATTAATTTTAAAATTGTATGAATAAGAATCACATGCATGACTTTAAAATCGTGTGAATAAGTATTGCAATATTTGATTTTAAATTGAGAAAATATCAATCCCGATATGTGGCTCTGAAATTCGATATTGGGTTTCAAAAATGCGAAAATACAAATCCTGATGTGTAATTTTTAAATCATGTGAATATGAATCCCAATGTCTAACTTTTAAATCACGTATAAATACGAAAATCGATGTCTGATATTACAACAGCATAAATGAATCACGGCATTAGATTTTAAACTTGCGTAAATACAAATTGCTACATAGGGTTTTAAAAACGCGTAAATACAAATTGCGATATTGGATTTTTAAATCTCGTAAATAAGAATCGCATTGTACGATATTTAAATCGTGTGAATAAGAATTGCAATGTACGATATTTAACTCGCGCTAATAAGAATCGCAATGCGCAACATCTGAATCAAGTAAATACGAAAATCGAGGTAAGATACTAAAATCGCGTGAATAAGAAACGAGATATTAGCAGATTCTAGACTTGGGATATCTAAAAGTCTTGCTTTTGTTTAGCCATAATAAAAATTTACAAAAGTAATTGAATGTTACTCGCAAATCCACCATTATTTCGTTTGCTTTTGCTCCTGCAAACAGGAAGAAATTCGAGAGGCAAAAATCTCATCCATGTGAAGTCTACCTAACTCACACTGCTGAATTGAGATCAAATTTTGATTACAGAAAGCAGTTAAGGAGTTCAGTAAGTCATTTGTACTTAAATTACAAAGAAAGTAAAATTTATTACAACTTTCACAAAATATTTTTCAAATTTCTATAAGAAAATACTTTAAGATTTCATTAACATAATTTTTTTTATCTTTTTAAAATTCTTATTACAAATATTAAGGCAATTTGCTGTTTGAATCTTTGAAATAAATCCAACTTCATTAGGTTTCTTACTATACCAAATAAGCATAATAGTGCTATAGAAATTTTTTAAAAACTTCACTTACAAGAGATTGCTTATTGAATACGAGATTCCAAGAATTTGGTTCTTTAAATACTCAGAAGTAACATTTATAAAACTTGGAGAATTTTTTTTATCAACAGATAAAATATGTATATTGAAGCACATTACATAATCTTCCTTTTCTGCACTTAGCAAATTGCAGTCGCATCGAAAGAAAAAAAAAAAAAGGGCGAAATTTACGCAATAATCGGAAAAAGTTCGATTATAAAAAATGTATTACAGACGAAATCACACACGTCAAAAAAGGGTTAATTAAATGCACATTTTGATATTCAAGAGTTGTAATAAACATCACACCTCGGAATTTTAAAAAAATCGCAGAAAAAAAAGGAAAAAAGATTGAAACGACACATGGATTTGGTGCAAATCGAATACGTTCAAAAGTAATCACATAAATGTGGAATTCTAATAATACTGTATGAAAATATAAAAACCACGTGGATAACAGTAGTAATAATCGAGAAAAATTGGATTGATAAAACATGGGTAATGTCGAAATTCGTAGCATCTATGGTCAATGAAACAATTGAAATATGAAATAGATTTACCATGGTATCGACACAAATTGGGAGTATCAAAAATTTAATACTTAAATTTTGAAAAAAAAAAAAAAAAAAGAGATGGTTAAAATTGTGCGTGTTATAACATCAGAATTTTAAAAACTACAGAAAAATTAATTGCATTAACTGCAACAGTAAAAAAATATCGAAACACGGATTTGCGAAAGCATCAAGTACATTGAAAAGTGATTACTTGAAAGCGCAATTCTAAATTTTCATATCTTAATATCATTTTAAACAAAATTCCTACTCATTAAAATATAATTAACTTTATACTTATGTGTTCGCCTTAGTAGTTCATCAATTCCAGCCAAAGTTACTACATATTTTTTTTTTTTTTTACTGTTCTCGAAGTCTCATTTTTAAATTATCTAACAAATCTGTATGAAAAAGTCGTTAAAGTACGGGAAGATTTACTGTCAGAATATAAATTATTGATTCAGGATAATCAGGTAATTAGCGGAAAAACCCTATGCCTGATATTATCCAATAGTTATTTTACTATATAAACCTAAATAAATTGAACAGGAAAATTAAGTCAAAATTAGTGCAACTTCTCATAAACATTTAGAAGAAAATTTTTTAAAGTTAATCTATCGATTATAAAAAATCTAACGCACAAAACATTGAAAAAAAAAACAAGACATTTTTTTTTTTTAATAAATTATACGAAAAATATTTATTGACTATATACAATGAACAGAGCTTAAAATATAAAAGACAAACTAAAAGAAAGCAATGCAATCAATCAACCAATAATCAGTCGTTTTCACATAACTTCCATCTCCATACTGTGGTTACTCTCTTGAAATATTTGTTTCAAAGGGCCATTACTGTCATCTGGATTTTCCATTTGTTTTTCTGCAGAAGAAGGTGGTGTTGGGATGCCATCCATACTGGGGTTGTCATCCCAATCTATCTTGAACCTTGTCACCCGGGGGGAAGTTGCAAGAATATTTCTCTGCAGCTGAAAGAAAAAAAACTTGAATTAAAATATATATATATATAAAAACACAGATAAATTCTTTATTAAAATTTAATGTTGGTGAGCAATGAGGAGACTTATACAAACTGGAGAATATCTGAAAAGGCAACTAACAGCATTCTCCATTTTCAGTACTACTATTATTTTTTTCTTCACAAGCCAGAAGACACCTGTAGACACTTCCTGAATACAAATCCTAATAGTAATTTTTAAATCGCGTGAACATGTATTGCTGCAATATTTGATACAAAATCGTGAAAATACCAAGCGTATACCATGCTCGATCTTAAACCGAATTTGGTAGGAAAAAACGTAAAAATGAATTTATCTCTCTTGAGAAAGGCAATTTTTTTTTTTTTTTTTAAAAAGAGGTGGATTTTTTCTCAATGATTATATTTTTGTTCTCTCTTTCTATCCCAGCTGTGTTAAATATGATCTTCAAATTGATAAGAAAATAAAAGAAACTTTCAATGGGGAAGAAGCATTTAAGACATCATTTCAAAGTGAGGGGTTGTGTTGTCCAGATGAAAAGATGCTGGTGTCGAATCATTTCACAAGAGCAGTATAATTTTCTCTCCTTTCTTTGCAAAGATAAGGCAAGGTGGACAGGAGAAGATTGATTCTTTAGTAATGAAATAGCTTAAAAATATTTTTTCGTTATGAGAAGGCAAAAAATGTACATGCTTTAAAAATGGTGAAAAGTTGCATATTTTTTCTTGCAATTTAAAGCATTTTTTTTTCAAATTTAGAAAAATCAGCGCCTGGTTCAAAGAGATAGAAATTAACATTACAGGACAAAAATTACTGTCCGCGTCCGGTTTGAGGAGTATCCGCTTTGAGGAGAATGTACATAATGGTTTATTTATAGAAGATTCATGGGGAATTAAAAATATGTTTGTATCGAGAGACGTCCGATTTGCAGGTTAATAGACAGGATGTGTCAAATAATAGAAAGGATTGTGTCAATAGCAGGAGGTTTCACTGTATTTATTTTTAAAAGTTTAAATTTCGTAAAAATCAATTCAAATTAAAAAATATATACATTGAATAAAAAATAAATAGTGATCTTTTTATACCAGAAATCTAGCACATAGCTTAAAAATGTGATAGCTGGGATTTGAACCACAATTCTCATAGAAGGCAGATAGCTTAACCGTTGAACTTAATATGAATAGCTTAACTGAAACTTTAAACTACCATATTTACCCCCAAAGGGCAGACTTTTACCCCATCCAAGGATTTTAACCATGCTTCTTATGCCTAATTTCATTTCAATTACAAATTTTATAGATGCACACTTCTTTTGCGGGATGTTTAGATAAAACTAAGCTATTCGATGAGATTGTGCCACTTAAGAGAAATTTATTTTTTCTAAAACACTAGGATACACAAATTTAGCAACATAATGTAAGACTTCTTTTTAAACAATTCATTAAATTATCTGCATACTCACTTTATCAAACTGAGGTGATGTAGGAGGATTTTCTTTCATTTCTGGGTCAACATACTCATTATTCACATAATAACCAACTCTGATGAACTCTTTTGTTCTGTAAGAGCAAGTTAAAAGGACAACTGTCACTCCCACAGCATCTTGAACAGGGATTTTAAGAGGGTCAGGTGGATCAGCCTGGAATACAGAAAATAATAGAACTGAAAATAAACTTTGTAATAAATTTTGACACTATCCTTCTAGCAATTCTATAATCATGACATACTACTATTCGAGACAGGCGCTTTAATTTCCCTTTGGACCTATAGCAGTGTTTTTATTACAGAAAAAAAATGGGAGAGAATTTCTCACCCTTTCTCAAAAACAGGGTAAGATTTCTAAAAATTTAAAAAAAAAAAAAAAACGCGAATAGACATGGAATTTTTTTATTTCATTTAATTATAATACATTTTTAACATCTTATTTTTAAAGCATTGAATATTTTTGCTGCATCATCACATGGAAAATGTTCTATATCTATTTTTTCACCAGCTATTCTCATTACGTTGCTCAAATGCTCATCAGTCAATCTGTTACCAAATTTTGTCTTAAATCAGTTTTGGGTGCTAAGTGACCTCGCAACAGATGCTGACCTATCCTCTACACCTGCCAGCATAGGCTTTTAAATTATTTCTGCTATAGAATAGTGAAGTTCGTTGAAGTTATTTCCATGTTCATACTTCATGGTATGCAGGGATGAGAGTAGTCAGAAAGTAAAAAAGAGGAAATCCAAAAAACAAAAAAAAAAAAAAAAATGAAAAAAAAAAAAAAATATATATAAACGAAAATTTGACAAAAAAGTTCGATTTTTAAACTTGTAAGCCATGTGAATATAAATTCCCATATGACTTTTAAATCACGTAAATATGAAACTCTACATCGAATTTAAAAAATGCGAAAATACAAATCATGATTTTTTAATGTTTTGATCACGATGCATAATTTTTAAATCGCGCGATATTACAACCACAAAAACGAATCACGATATTGGATTTTAAGCTCACGTGAATACGAATTGCTACATAGGGCTTTAAAAGCTCGTAAATACAAATCGCGATATTGATTTTTTAAATCTCGTAAGTAAGAATCGCACTGTACAATATTTAAATCGCCTGAATAAGAATCGCAACGTTCAACTTTTAAATCAGGTAAATACGAAAATCGAGATTTGATAATAAAATCGAGATTTTAAAAATGCATAAATACAAAACACGATATTGGATTTTTAAATGTCGTAAATAAGAATCATAATATACGATATTTAAATAGCGTAAATAAGAATCGCAATGTGCAACTTTTAAATCAGGTAAATACGAAAATCGATGATTGATATTAAAATCGCGTGAATAAAAATCGAGATCTGAATTACGAAAATACGAGCTATCCAGCCGACGGATAAAAAATACGGAAAATCTTATTTTCTGTGCGTGAAATCGGAGAAAATAGCTAAAATAAGTAAAAATGCGGAAGGGTTAGCAGCTAGGGCGTAGATTGAATTTTCTGTTTATCTTTGAAAATCGTAAATAAATATAATTATTTTACTTCAATGACTGAATTTTAAAAAAAAACGGGATATTTATTTAAAAAAACGAAGCTTTTAGAGAATCGGAGTTTTTGATAAAAAGGCTGAAATTCGAGAGACAAAAAAAATCTCATCCCTGTATAAAGGTGAACCAGTTTTATCCCAAGGAAATGATTTTTAGAGAAACTTCAGACGGAGGAAAAGGGACTTCAACAATTTCCCTCCGCGGAAAATTAAATTCTTCATAAAACATTTTAACTTGGGCAAAAAAAATTTCAGCGGAAATTAGCGGGAAAAATGGAAAAATCTGAAAAAAAGCGGAAATCCGCGGAAGAATCTCATCCCTGATGCTATGTCTTCCAGCATAGCACAGTTTTCACAGCCTTTAACTTTTGCAAATTGCTGTAAACTGTCGATAAGGGAGTTTGGTAATTCATTAACAGCTAAAAATAGAGCCAAGTTTAAATAACTTATGATAAAGGACTAATTTGTTTTTCTCAACTGATTTTTTTTATTTGGCTGAAAAATATCCGTATTTGTTTCGTTTTGACTGTTTCTACTGACATTTGTTTCATTTTCATTTGTCTACCACGGAATAGAAGATGTTGCCTACGGTGAACACGTGGTTGCAGAGAAATGTGTTCTGAAATGGGTTTTGCGGTTCGGGGGTGGGGTTCGCTGTTCGCACATGTTCTGAACAATGGTACTGGTAAATAGGGAAGCTAGATAACAAGGACCAATGTTGAAAATAATGAAAGATCAGATGAAAGAAAAGTGAAACGTATTTTATTCAAAACGGAGTAAGATGATATTTTTCCAAAATTCGTGAAATGCACCATTTTGAAATTGATTAATAGAGTGCGTGAATGTATCGTGTTAATACTTTTTTAATGCGAGAAAAGAAAAAAATATGCGCGATTATCACGTTGTAGTGAAAACACTGTACAGTAAGAGCAGAGCAATTTTTTCATGCACGTACGGTTCCACTATAGCAATAATTTAGAGCTGTTAAATTGAAATTTTTTCTCGTAAATCTAGGCTGGGCAGGGGTGATTGTGAGCCCAAGTCAAAATTCCAGAAAATTTCTTGAGTTAAATAATAATAAAAAAAAAAAATTTAAACAAGGTTTTTTCTTCTTTTTTCTCAATATTTCTCAGTTTACAGATATTTTTAAAATTTTACACGTACCTATACCACTTACACATACCCATGATGATCTAGAGAAGTAATTAAAATTTACAAATGTCTTTCTTTCTTGAGTTTATGATTATAACTATTTACTGATAAAAAATGAATATTAATCATGAATATAAGCTTATAAAGTATATCTCTGGTTTTTCCTTGCAAACAAATAAAATAAACTGTGTTTTTAAGTTCCACCTTTGAAAATTTGATTTCCGGAAACTTCTGTGATCAATGATTTTTTGAAACGTCTGGACCTTCAATCTCCGGAAACTTTCAGATCACTGTTAGTGAAAAGTCCGGAAATCGGGATTTTTTCAGGACAACAATCAGCCCTGGCTGGGTAACCTGATACCAATTGACTGACTACTGTCATAGGAAAGGGAATTGCCATTCGTGTGAGTAGACTTGCTTTTTAATTCAACGTTGATGCTGAGTGTGCAGGAAACTAAAATCATCGGTATATAAGTAACTTTTATAAATAATAGCTTATTAGTAATTATTGAAAACAAAAGAAACTTAGTTGTGTTATTGGTGTGGGGTAAAGGGAAAAAAAACTTTAAATGTTTGATTTGATATTTAACCATTAAGATAATTAGATATATTTAAGATAAATAAAAAAACTGACTACCAGCTATAAAAAAAAGAAGAAAAAAAAAGACTAAAGTTGCAAACATGAGAAAAAAAAATTGTCTTAATTCTTAAAACAAAACTTTAATGCTAAAAATATTTTTCTGAAAATAAATTATCCAAAAACCGTTAAGAGATTATGACTATCAGAAACGCTTTAAAAATGCAGAGCAATCTTAAAAACACGGATGAAATAAAAGGTTATACAAAAGCAAAACAAGAAAAATAAATCTTAATTTTTGAAAGGAAAAGTAAAATTTAAAGTTTAATAGAAACTTTCTTAATTGCTGCATCATAATAAAAATGTATATAAAAAGTTTTTTAAAAAAGAAAAAGATAGAAACAAAAACAAAAATCATTCTCAATTTTTAAATGAAAGATTTAAAGCTAAAAATCTCAATTTAACTTTTTCACATTGCTGTATTTTTAGATTAAAGAGATCATAAAAAAAATAAAGTTTATTAGATCCCCCTTTAAAAAGTGTTGTGACAATAAAAAACCCTGATGAAAAGAAAATTTAAAAAACTAAAGAGAAAAAAAACAAAAAAGTTTTTAGTTCTGAAATATAATTTCAACAGTACAGGAAAAAAGTGACAACAAAAGAATAAAGTCTATTAGAAACACTGTTAAAATGCTGCACTTAGTTAATACAGAAAAACAAGCAAAAATGGAGAAAAAAAAATCCTTGTTTTTTAAAACAAAGTGTTGTCAATTTAAACAAAGGAAGATTAATCAGTAATAAAGCAGGGTTTCCGCTACGGTAGCTTTTTTCGCAAAATGCGAAAAGACCCCTCAAAAATGCTAAAATTCAACAAAGCATTTTCGCATTTTTGCTAAAGGATTTTACTAAATTCCATTAAAAAAAAAG